CCCATATGGAGAAAAATCTGGGCCCCCGACTCAATTCGATTGATTGAAACCGATTGGCAGTGTGCACTGAGTTTGAAGAAGATCATATTTTTGTTCTCTATCTCTTCCTGTACGCGCGCGTCAGTTCAATTGGTTCACGGCATCCCTTTTTTGTTTTATAGCCGTCAAACCTCATCCAATCCTTGTTATCTCTAATCAAACTGTATGTTCACTGCTAGGTCATTCATCTCTACTCCCTTTGGTGTTTGTTTTATGTAAATAGGTTTAACAGGAGTGGGGTTATAGGGTTTGGTCTTTATTGTTATTTATTATGTAACTATGTTAAAAAGGAGTGGGGTTATAGGGTTTGGTGTTTATTGTAATTTATTATGTAACTATGTCAAACGGGAGCGGAGCACTTATTTGACCTTATTGTGTTGCAAGTGCCGTAAAACTTTTACGAAAACTAAAAGGAATTGCTAGGGAGGTTTGTGATGCTGAAAACTTTAGTCACAAAATTGGTTGTGAGCAAAGGAGAAATAGCATTCCGTACACTGACAGTTAATTGAAAAATATCTTTCTGTTGTTTAGTGGGTTGTTGGCGGGTGCTCTGGTGTGGTTTGCTTCTTCTTTCCTATCAAACATCTATCGTCCTTATCTCCCCTTCTTCTTTTTTATGTTTGTTACTCTGTTGTAACACCTCTAATCTTCTAGCGCTCATCATGACCTTATGCAGTTGCGAGCGCCGTAAAACCTCTACTAAAACTAACTTTCTGTCGTTTCTGACTCTGTTTTTTCTTACCCTCGTACGAGGTGACCGTCTGGTGGTTGAAGGGTGTCGCTAGTAGGTTCTATGTCTTTACTTGCCATCTGTTGTGTCTACCCGCCTGTTTTGCTCTTCCTTAGTACTGAATGACCCGAGTGGGTAGTTGGCGGGTGCTCTGGTGTGGTTTGCTTCTTCTTTCCTATCAAACATCTATCGTCCTTATGTTCCGTCTTTCTGTTCTCTGTATGTTACTCTCTATTAACACGTCTAAACTTTGGCATTTAATTAAATTTCCAAATACAAAACTCTTATTAAAACTAAAATCTGAAACATTAATGACCGTTATTGTGTCGACATTATATGACCTAACAGGGTTGCAAGTGCCGTAAAACTCTTTCTAAAACTAAATCCTATGTGAGCGTAATCCCCAGTGTTGAGATTTCTATCGAGTATCTCGGTTTTTCTGCATGGATGTTGTATCCCTCTCTTCCCAGGTCGACCCTGACAAACAGACAGGGCCCTGAGCCCGCCCCCTAAATGATCTTAATTATGTCGATGGGGGCGTAAAACTCCTACTTGAAAAAATATAATTTATTGGTCAAGCAGGTCGTGAAAAAAACACCAACCCAACCTGTGTTTGTGGGTGGTTGGCGGGTGCTCTTGTGTGGTTTGCTTCTTCTTTCCTATGAAACATCTATCGTCCTTATCTCCCCCTTCTTCTTTTTTGTTTTGTTTGTTACTCTCTTGTAACACCTCTAATCTTCTGGCGCTCATATATATGACCTTATGCTGTTGCGAGCGCCGTAAAACCTCTACTAAAAGTATCTTTTGTTCTTCTTTTTTATGTTTGTTACTCTTGTAGCACTTCTAATCTTCTGGCGCTCATATGACGTATGCAGTTGCGAACTAAAACTAAAACTTGTGTTCACGTTTTGTGTTTTTCAGAATTGATGACCGCGTTTTGCCGTGTGTCGCCATTCTGCCGTGAGCAGTAAACTGGAGCAAGGAATGAACGAATAGATTACAGACGGACAAGCAAAAGTGAGTAAACCACGATACAGTGCATGTTTGTATCTAGCTCGGTCTGACTCTGTCTCTTTCTGTCAATCTGTTTTTTTGTTTGTCTGTCTATCAGACTGTACTTTAGTGGGTGGTTGGCGGGTGCTCTGGTGTGGTTTGCTTCTTCTTTGCTAAGAAACATCTGTCGTCTTTATCTCTCTTTTTTCTCTTTTATGTATGTTACTCTCTTGTAACACCTCTAATCTTCTGGCACACTTATATGACCTTACTGTGTTGCAAGTGCCGTACAACACTTACAAAAACTAAAACTGTCTGGCAGTTTGTCTATCAGACTGTACTTTGTTTGTCTGTTCTTCCCCCTCCTCCCTCCCCGAGACTCTCCCATCCACCCCGTACTCCCTCCCTGTCTCTCTTTCTCTCTCTCTCTCTCTCTCTCTCTCTCTCTCTCTCTCTCTCTCTCTCTCTCTCGCACTTTCCTTTATTCTATCTCTGTATTCTCTCTCTCTGTCTCTCTCTCTGTCTCTCTCTCTCTGTCTCTCTCTCTCTCCCTCTCTCTCTCTCTGTCTCTCTCTCCTGTCCATCCTCTTCCCCCCTCCCTTCCAAACACCGAACAAGCAGACATTAAAAAAAAAGAATATATATAAAAGTAATATATATCAGTGTAGTGTATGACGCCAGAAGTCCCAGTACGTCGGCCCTGGTTCCTGTGATCGTCAGTTACGCCCCTTGGTCTACCTGTGACGGGGCGAGACCGCCCGTGGCGCTGCTGTTTGCCCTCCTACATTTTCTGTAATGACATTCATCATGATTATTATTCTGATGATAAAAATAGTACAACCTACTTGTTCCTTAATAAATTGTGATAAAAAAGAACATACCACCCTTTCTTTAACGATGATATTAATAATGACAATGAATGTTCTAATAATAAAAAAAGAACATACCACCCTTTCGTTAACGATGATATTAACAATGATTCATGATTGTTCTAATGATAAAAAAGTGCAAACCACCTTTTCTTTAATGAAGATATTAATCATGATCATTCTAATAACAAAAATAGTACAATAACACTATTTTATGGGCGCAGTCTTGCCAACTATACCTTCTTCTCCCCCCCC